AAATTTCTTTGGTTTTAGTCCTGGTCACGAGGTAATGAAGTGCAGTAAGTATGGGGAGGGTTCAGCCATTGAGCTGACGGGAGTCTTGTACACTAATTTCATCATTTGTGCGTGCAATCTGAGTATGCATTGAGTCACCAGTGTGTGGCTGCGCCGTATGTGGGATCGGAATGGCGCTGCCCCTTTTGAAGGGGCCATATGTGATGTTTTTGGGTACAAGTAACTTTGCCGTTCTATAAAAGAGCCGCGCGCGGCTCTGAGATGGCCATTCTACAATTCTTCTTGTTTGGGGTTTGGTGGCGCTTTGCTGGTTGCCGTTGGGTGCCGAGTGAGGCGATCGGCTGAATTGTGGGGAAACTTGTTCGGCGGCCGGCGTCCTGGATGGGCGCCAGCAGTCGTGCTTGTACCGCTGCTTTGTAAGGGCCTTCGAGCCCAACTTTGCGGTCTGAATCATGTCTCCCGACCCTGGCATGGCACCTCGCGGCATGCCGCACGCATCCCCCTGCGTCTAGGGGCTTTATTGCCGCTCGATATGGTGGAAACCGAAGCGGCGGAAGTGCAGCTGGCCGAACAGGCCGTGCGCTTCGCTAAAAAGCGCATCGTCGCCAAAACGTGTCGACAAAAGCGCTGCGCTACCTGTGATACGGTCGACGCAAAGACACATACGATTATGTGCCGTAGAGGCGCATGATGCCATGAATCACGGCTGCATGGCACGCCAGAACGCACCAAAAGGAGCGTACAGCTTCGCAAAGCGGTGCGCTACTCAGCGATCGCGCCATAGCGGCGCTGAGTGGACATACAAAAGTATCTAAGTGCGTGCGCGCCGAGCGATCGTGGTGGTACACGATCCATGTCGACGCAAGGAAGGGTGCTGGTTTCTTAAGCACCGAATCGCTGCCTACGGTTGAAGAATACGTGTTCTTGCTCCATCATCGTAAAATGGGCGGCTCACGGGAACAATGCTCGATTCACAGTTTTGGGATCAGACTTGAAGCTTTTCAAGAGCAAGGCGAAACGCCGAAGAGGAAGGGGTGCAATTGCAGCAAGACATGCTGTAGGAGCCCAAGTTCGAGGTCGGGATAGGATGCCGCCGCTGTCCCTCTTGCAAGGCTGATGATAATTCTATGGTTGAATTGTGGACCGTTTGTTGCAACCAGTGACGAGCACATCCAGTAACAGGAAGGGGTGGTGGCCCATCAGCTGCCTGGTCAGCTATCGCAATATGGAGGCCAATCGACAAATTCATGAACCCACCGCCACCACAGCACTTTGACACATTGTGATATGAAATTAACTATCCTGTTAATGGGTTTCTGCCAAGGGAGACGACGGGTGGGCTGTGCCGATGATTCAAACGGCGCAGTTTGAACCTGGGGCTCAATCGGCCCCCGTCCCTTGGGATTTCTGGCCAACCTAGTACGGTGGGCCAAAATACGAAAATATGAGGTGCCGCCAACCTTGGCGCCCTGGAGTTTGGCGGGCTTCGGCAGGGCTGAGCCGGGGCGGCTACTTATAGGTAGCCTAATTAGGCTCTCCCCTCGGTGCCCCCTTCTTATCTTGTTTCCCACCCAGCCCTCCCGCCCTAGAGAGTGGTGTTCAGTTTAGTTGCGGGATGGAGAGGCAGCGAAGGGGGTTAAGTACGGTGTTAGGAAGCTGACCCAAGGGGTGTGTCACTCGCTCAGTGGCGTTAAGTACTAGCGAAGCGAAAGGGCGAACTTGACGGATGGGGACTGTTCGAGTTGCCGCAAAATGGACTGTAATGAACAGCTATCTTTGCTCTTATGGTACTCGTTCTGGTTGATTCACAACCACAGCCAATGACCTCACTGAATGGGATGGCCCGAGTATGCCACCATTTCGGTCATAGAAAAAGGCATTTTTCGATGGCGCTGTAAAGGGGCATGTACACCCCAGTGTAGATGCACTTTAGGCACGGGAAAGTGCTGCAAAATTCGCAGAACATTAGAAGAAAATGAGGTTGCATTGGCTGAGTCAGACAGTAGTAAAGGAAAAGCCGGGTAGTCAGGACGCCAAAAGGTCGGTAGGACGCATCCCACCATCTTGGGATTGCGTACAGAGTACAGCAGCAAACCGGGAACCCGTGGAAGTGTAGTCAGTGGGATCCCGTCTGACCCGCGGGATGCAGCAACGAAGGACGCGGCGCACACGGCGCGGTGCCGCTTTGCTTGCACGCCCGCGTGCGCGAAGCCCAAAACACCATGGTGAGTGGGTCGCGACCCCTGAGAGTGTGACGCCGTGAGTTGGAATGGGAGCTCGCGCAGGTAGGCTGCCGTTTGACCGAGTGGCGCGTTGGGAGGCCGCTCGATGGGCACCCTGAGTGGAGGATCGACTGCTCCATCAGGCGGTATAAAACCACCGCCGACCGTCAGACTGTTTTCTTCCCGCTGTCCAAGTATGTCGAGCCCCGCCCGGTAATTCACGAACGGGACAGAGAGGCACAGGAGGTGTGCAGCGGTGGAGTTGATGCGGAGGTTCAGACTGCGCGGACTCGGGTGGAGCGGCTGGACGAGGAGCTCCATGCGGAGGTGAGCGACAGGTCAGCACGGACCACGGCACGCCGTGAGGAACGAAGGGAGGCCGGGCGGATGGTTTTCGGAGTGCCCATCCGCGAATTGCAGGAGGCCATCCTGGCCTGGGTCGTCGCGAAAGGCGTCACGCCACACCGCTTCTCGACCCCCGGCAGGCTGACTCAAGCGGAGATTCAGGGGTGAGTGCGGTTTGACGTGGTGCAGCAAACTGGAACAGCGTGGGCTATGGAGGGCGGAGGCAGGAACAACAAGCAAGCCTGGACTATGCCGGACGACGATCGAGCAGACCGTGTCGAGCGGATGGGCGCCAGGCCGTTTCACTGAGAAGTTGCCGTGGGGCCGTCGGATGGAGAAGGTAGCTCGGAGTCGGAGGAAGAGACGGAGGACCGCGGGTCGGGGTCGGGTAGTTAGAGTAGGGGTTGTGAGCAAACAATGGTAGAGTTCTCGGTGTGAAGGGGTACCCGGCACCCGAGTAGTTAGCTCCGCAGGAACACGGGCGCCGCGGGGGCTTTCCGTGAGTTTGTGACGGAGTTCTGAGCGCGGGACGCGGGGTGAGGTTTGGTGTGAGCGGGAAAAGGGCACGGTAAGCTGCAGGGGCATTTAGCCAGTCGTAGGCGAGTGAGTGGTGTCCCATTGTTGCACAAGCCCAGACAAAGTGTAAGAGTCTTGCGGTTTGCCTGTGCGTGCGCCACCCGCGAGCTCGTGCAAGTTTAGGCGGAGGCTGGCTGGTTGCGGAGCGCGCACGGACTACCCAATTTGGCTGGGACAGACGGGGCGCGACCACTCTGACCGTCGAGGGCTCGCCGAGAGTTGGTTTTGGCCGACTTGGGGGAAGGTAGGTGTGCACAGTGGGGCGTGAATATGCGTTTTGACCAAGACCAGGGTCAGTCCTGACCCGTGGCCGGCCACGATCCGGAATGCTGGGTAACTTAGTATGTGTTGCGCGAGGGCCTGGAGTTGGGTCGGACAAGAGTGCATGGTTGCACTCAATAGGTGCTTACATGAAAGGATATTGAATTGTGACATGGTGGAAGGTCTGGGAAAGAGTATTAGTTGCGGGGCTGGAATGTATGAGTTATTGCTAATCCACCTTAGTTATTGGCTCATATTGACTGAAGTGTGGAGTTTTGGGATGTGTAAACTTGCATGATATATGCAAGGTTGGGTCACAAACCATACTGAAGTGGTGGTTATGTAACAGTGGACTGGTCTGACCAGGGTTCGGCATAACCTGGTGTGCATGTCTTACCAAACTCCAGTTTGTAAGTACGTGATAACACCTACCTGGTAATTTCAGGTGTTGTGATTTATGTCACCGAGGGCAGCATGTCCGCTTGTGGGACTTCACTTGACGCCACCTGTATGACTGCACGTACGGTGGAAAATATACAGCTGCCCTTTTTAGATCTCGAGCGCAGCCTCCTGCACGTGAGTACCGCGAAACCGCATGCGTTGGCTTTGTGGTCGGGCGCGCGGAGTACTACTGCTACAAATGTATTAAATGATCGTCATTTGCTGTCAATGTGACAGTGCCCATCCAAGAGTCTTCCATCTGCATTCGTCTTTCAGCATCATTCTCGTTTCCTTCCCCATTTTCCGAGGATGGTGCAACAGGACCTCGGGTACAGCACAGTAAATTGTGGGGCGGTTGTTTAAGTGCTTGTCATGGGTACAGTACCGGCAAGGCAGAAATCACCATACACGACAGCCAGCCGCCTCGCCACTATGGCGCTCACGAGGGACCGACAGACCAGGCAGGGGCGGACCACCACAGCTCACATCGCCCCGCCCTTCAGCGCTACCATCTGCACATACCACGTGCTCAAGCTGGCAAGCACAGGCTGCGCAAATTTCAGGTGCGCGTGCAGAGGGGCAGCTTTTGGCCCAACGCCACCAGGTGCAGCACGATTACGATTGTGTTGTTGAAGAAATTTAAAAGGGCACAAAACTAAGCCATCCGAGAGATTCCTTTGCTCGTTCTTTAGTCCTATATCTAGTGTACACTTCCGCCCACTCTCTTTGTTCTTGCTCCACCGCAGATTCAACACCTTATCCTATCCTATTCCCCACAAGGCACATCCAATGAAATAGAAATAGTAAACCACCGGTTTATTACTCCCCCGTGTTTGTTGCCTAACGTACAACGACCTACCCGTCCCCCTCGATCCGTCGCCCAACAAAATTTTGCCCAATGTGAAACTGCATCGTCGCCGATCCAAACGCTTTGACCATCCCGCCATGGCATGCATTCTGCAGGCGCCCATCCGCCTGCCCCAGGCAGGGGCTCTCACTCAAAACAAATGAAAAAGGAATTTTCCAAAGGGTCAGACAAATGAGGAACACGTCGCCAAAGCACACACAAACACGCACACCCCGTGACACACACAGACACCAACCGCACACACCCCTCCCCCATAACGGCTCCCAAGCCCCCCCCCCCCCCATCTCTCACAGCGACGGGAATCGGTGCAGCCGCTTCATCTTCTTCTCTCTGCCGCTGTTGGCACTGTCAAACACGGCGTTCGGTGGGCAGCTCCGCAGGGACTGCTGGGAGCCCGAGGAGCCGATGCTGCAGAGCTCCATCATCGACCCTATGCTCCCCAATGACTGCTGCCTCGGCAGCTGCCGCTTCCTCCGCCACAACGCCTTCATCGCGTTGTTGTGGATCGCCAGAATGATCTTGTACCGCCAATCCGACTTCAGCAGCCTCTCCCGTCGCCCCACGACCTGTCGCCTCCCACGCAGCAGCCCCCTGGGGGCCCGCCGGCGCACGGGCACCCCCCGCAGGCCGCCCTCCCTGGGCTCCGAGGAGCTGCCAGCCCGCGGGGCAGGGGCGGGGCCCCCAGCCATCACATTGGGCCAGTCGAGGCCACTGGACAGGCTGCGTATCGGGCTGCCCACCCAGCTGTTGGCCACATCCGCCACCGAGGTCAGGCTAGTCCAGTACTGGCACTGCACCCTGATGGCCTGCTGTATGCCCAGCCAGGCAAAGGGCGAGGGGCAAGGACAGGACATGCTCTGGCTGGCAGGCAACTCCTCACCAAGGAGTACCCGCAAACAGGCCTCCGTGGACATGGTGGTGGCCCGGAGGTTGTAGCCACCCTCGAGGAGCAGCACGAGGGGGGCCACCGGGCGGAGCATCGCCGTGAGGCGGCCGTAGCCCTCGGGGGTGACCCTGCACCCACCTAAGCAAAGCAAAGATGGAGTGACACCCAGGCACTGGCCACCATCTTCACCTCACTAGCTGCAGTGCTGATGACAGGCAGTTTGCAAACACCAGGGCAGGACACGTTTACATAGTCTGACAGCCGCCACATGCACTGGAGATGAGAACATGCAAGAGAAACATCATCTGGCCAAGCCACCCTTCCAGGATCGGCAGGTGGGCAGCTGAGGTTTTACAAGGACAGCCTGCTACAATCACACAGCACGCAAAACTGAACACCCACATCCTTGGCAAGCATCCAATTGGGGCATCCACAATTTCCACAACAGCCTTCTCTATTCATTCTGCTTTCCTTGCTTCCTTGTCCTGCTGTTAGTGGACATCTTCTGGCTGTGTTTCAGTTCCATGCAGTCCCCCTTTGCCTTCCATATGTTACACCCAAAAAGATATTACAACTGGAGCGACCCCCCAAACCCCTCAAATCAACAAATCACGACAACTAAATAAATCAATAAATCAACAAAATTCACAAATCAATGGAACAAATAATCATGCTGCAAAACTGAATCGAATGGTAACTGCATTCTAAGGCTCAACTGTGACTGTCGCTCCCCAGCATCCATGGGTCCATTCATCGGAACCAGCTGGTGCTGCTGCCACCACCTATCCCACATTACAGCTCCCAGGACGTGCTGTCAACAGCAGCACGCCACACAGGCCCACGTACCAAGTGGATCACCCTCCGCAGCATCGAATCCAGCTGATACGATGGTCATGTCCGGCTTGAACTCGGAGGCGATCGGTAGCACCACATGCTGGAAGGCCGCTACATAGTCCTCGTCGCCCATGCCATCATAGTCCCAGGGTATGTTCACGCTGAAGCCCTTCCCTTGTCCACTGCCTACGTCTGTGGGCCCACCTGTGCCAGGATAAAAGCTGCCCCTGAAAGGGGACACACGTCACAACGTTAGATCGGGCTGTACTTCTGAGATCGGGCTGTACTTCTGAGATTTGCATGGTCATTTGGCAACTTGACCACAACTCAACACAAAGACATTTACGATGATGGGAACCAGTACTGCCCTGCACCACTGCTGTCATACACGTGCTTTTGAGGTGCAGCAGGCAACCACATGAGGAAGGGTTGGGTACGAGGTGAAGCCAAGGTCAGAACTTATCCATTCAACATTCTATACCAGGCTAAGGGTTGCGCCCCTGCACCTCTTAGAAACACTTGGTACAAAAAGGAAACTCCTGTCCATCCACACCTACCCGTCGTATCTGTGGAGGGAGATGTACAGTACCGATGGGTCGTCCTGGAAGATGTTTTGTGTCCCATTCCCGTGGTGCACATCCCAGTCCACAATCATCACCTTCCGGGCACCGTTCCTCTGGGCCACCCTGGCCGCCACTGCCGCATTGTTGAAGAAGCAGAAACCCATAGCATTGCCGCTCTCTGCATGGTGCCCGGGCGGCCGCACGATGGCCGCCCCGGCTGAGGCCTCCTTCCTGGCCACCACAGCGGCGACCTGGGCGGAACCACCCGCCGCCAGCTTTGCACACTGGAAGGTGTGTTTGTTGATGTAGAGGTCCGCGCTCAGGCGCAGGGATGCATTGTCAGGGGCCATGGACACAGAGTCGGATATCTGCTTGTTCCTCTCCACCAGCTGTTCAGAGTGCACACATAGCAGCTCCTCTAAGGTGGCTTCCCTGCAATCGATCCTCTTGCACCGGGCTGCAAAGACAGTCACAACGAAAGTAGTGAGGGCAACATCACACACCCACATCCCGACACACAGGCGCTGTTGATAGCGGATGTTCACACGCTGAAGCACAGCAAGCTAAAAGTGTTGATGATGCGCATAACTCTTGTAAATTCTGAAAGCACACTTGGACTCGCATCTTGGCACTATATATCTGTGCGCTTTGGGTTTCGCCCGTTTCCCCATCATTCCTCACCAGCCAGCCCCGAGCTCAACAGCCTGGACATGATCGCCCTCAGCCGGTCCGGCCTCTCTGGGTGTGGGCTGGAGTTCCCCTTCTGGTGCATCGTCATCCTGTCGTCGTACACTATGGCGACGTCCCGGTCGACGTCCGGCCGGCGCCAAGCGTAGTCCACCACCGGCGCCACGGTCAGAGGATCGACCGCCGCGTCGTGGCCGCACGTCTCGCACACGTCGCCGTGGCGCCGCTCGGAGCAGTTCAGGCAATAGGCGAGGGCCGGGCTGGACAGGCTGCTCTCCGAGGCTGAGTCGGAGGCGTCTACCTGCAGACAATGCGGCAGCGAGCTCTTACAGCACCGCACTCGAGTGCTTACCAAGCCGATGCAAGCTACGGGGGTTTGGCAGGGAGGCGGATTCGCGCCTGAGACCCGGAGTGCAGCAACGCGGTGGGATAGCCCATGGAGGTAGTATAGACACTAGAGAGGGGTGCCCCAGCAGACACGCAGTTCAATGAACTGCTGTAGAGGAAGGCAAGGGAGCGGGGGTTGTCGTACTTCCTTCGCGTGCCTCCCCCCACATCGCAGCAAATGCGTTGCTCCCGACACCAGCGGCGCCTGTGTCTGTGGGCGCGGTACAGACTCTTCATAAGGAAGCGTGCTCAGCAACCGGATTGCCAGCCACCCAAACCACTCCAAGCAGCGAAACAATCCACGGGCCTCTTCCAGTGCAATGGACCATCCGCCCCATGCCAAACCAAGGACAATGGCATGGGCGGTCCGATGACATGCTCACCGGCACGCCCCCGGGCCCCACCTGCCAACTATCCTCCTCCGTGGCGGCATCCGTGCCATAGTGCGCTGTGTCCAGCAGGCCCTGCAGGTTGTAACCCCCGCCCCGGTCGCCGGGAACCGTCTCGCTGGCGCCGCTCTCGTACTCCTCGGCGGTGATGAAGTCGTGCTTGGATGCCACCTCGGACGCGTCGCCAAGCTTAAAGTTGATGAGTCGCATTCCAGTCGGGCTGGAGGCCGGCGTCGCACTGTCCCCTGGCCAGGCGCACACGGCACAACGCTGTCAGGGCTGCACCCCGAGGGAAGGATGGACCTGTCTGGTGTTGCGGAAGGCTGGTCGCTGATGGAAAAGGCGGGAAAAGTGGAGGAAGCAACTGGAGGTACGTGTGAGGGGTTGAGTCATTGGTCTCATCGGTGCTTGTGCGCGGCGAGGATGGAGGAGTGGGAGGGGGAAGGCGCCAAAGGCGTTGCGCTTCGGCCCCAGGCGGCGCATCTGGAGCACATTTTGCGTCGACATGGCAGCCAGGGGTCCCCCCCGACCTGGTTTCCGGTCGCCAGCCGAGTGACCTTTGTCAGTCAAGTCCGAGATAACGGGGAGTCGCTCAAGGGGGGGGGGGGGAACAAGACACAGGCAACAGTGGGCAATCGGGGATCAGACGCCAAAAGCGGAACGCCCAGAAACGGGTTTTTGGCGGGGGAAAGGGCGCCAGACGCCCCGCGCCAGTCCGCCCATCTCGCCGTCTCAAAAAGGGCGGGCGGGACAGCTGTCCCGGGCGAAGCGGACGGGAACCCGCTTCGGTCGGGTTGGCCCCCGGGCGGGATCGGCCCCCAGCCCCGGCCCCGCCGAGCCCAGAGGCGGCTCAAAGAGCCACATCCGGGCACGGCGGCCGATCCCGGCCGGCCGATCGCTACAGCACGGCCCTCCCACGTTGGAGGCCGCGTCCCTACAACATCGGACGGCCCAAAATCTCCCGGCCCCCGGACAGCGCCCAGACCCCTACCCCGAGCGTTTGAAATCCGGCTAGGCGTAGCCCAGCCCGCCGGAGTTCAGCCCCAGGGTCCAGGAATGGGAATGCCGGCCCCGCCCGAGGGGGGCGGCTCCCCCGCCGGTGACAGCTTCTCGCCGGCTGCGGCCGGTCAACCGGCGGGCGCGCCCACCTCGGGCAGCACCCCGCGATCCCAAACGCCCTGGGGGGTTGGGCAGGCCCAGGCAGCCGGGGAGGATGGGGAAGGGGCACACGCACCGCAGCACGGGACCCCGCTCGCCGAGTCGCAGCCCAGCCGCCGCCCCGGGTGCAGCAGAGGCGGAGGCCGATCGAAGTGACACGCGTGACAGACCGGAGTGCCGTGGCTTGGGGGCGCTGGCGGCGTTTCTGGCTTTTATATTGTGGTGACGCGGGCGGTGACGTGGAGGGCGGTGGTTGGGTATGGCGGGCGGGGGGGCCGGGCCACGCGCGCCGCGGGACCGACCTGACGTGACGAGGGCCATCATGTACGCGCGGCGGCCCTGACAAGCAGCCGCCGCCATCGGGCGGCGCTCACGTGTGCCGTGGGAGGCAGCCGGGAGCCCCATCACGGGGCGGGGCCGGAACGGTGGGCGCGGCGGCTGGTGGAAAGCCAAGCGGGGCAGGAGTGACAGGCCGTGCGTCATGGTGTTAAAATTCCGGGTCATGAGGGCGGCCGTTGGGGGACGGAGGCAGCGGCAGCGGGTGGGGTGGGTCCGTGGCTGGTTGCGGACTGGAGGGCGTGTCGGACGGCGGCGTTGTAGCGGCCCTTCAGTCTTCCGAGACAATCCGTCAAGGCGCCCTGACAGCCCGCAGCACCGCAGAAGCCTCGTCAGAACTCAGGCGGGAGGCGCGGGTCCGTATTCAAGGCTGAAGGCCGGTGCGTGTGTGCGTGTGCGAGGATGGTTGATCGGCTGGACCCGTGGGCGGCCATTCCATCAAACGACAGTCTTCAGGTGCGGCGTCCGCTGGCGAGACAACACTGCGGGGCCTGCGCGCTGCCTTGGGCAACGAGCGCGGCTTTGCGACCCCTCGCCCCGACACAACAACCAAACTCCTCCCGCCCTTCTTGCGCTCGCCCATCCTCCAGCCCACCCACCGCCGCCAGGCGACTCTCCGATCCAGCCCATGCGATCGCCCCAAACCCCGGATCAACCCACAGGGCCACCCTGCGCACCACCGCAGGCAGGCGGCCGGCCTCACCTGGACGCTCCTCGCGGCGGCGTCCCTCGCATCAAGCAGCCGGCCCGCGGCGCCCAGGTGGCGCCTGCCGGACCGCAGCCTCTCCGTCAGGGCCAGCAGGAGCGGCTCCGACGGCGACGCTTCCAACTGATCCAGCAGGCCGCACACCTCCTCAAAGAAGGGCGCTAACCCATGGCCGTCCAGCGTGGGTTCTGCCGCGGGCGCCGCGGCACAGCACTCCCGCGCAACGGCGGACGTAAACTCCGCACCGGCCGCTGAGATGCCGCCCAGGGCGCCGATCTCATTGTCCAGCGCTACTTGGGCGGATTCTTGCAGCGCGGCGCGACGCCTGAACCTGTGCAACAGAAGAGGACTTGATGCCGCCGTTCTTCCCCGAACTCCGGACCTCAGCCCCGGTTGGCCGCCCTTTTATCACGCGATTCGTTGTGCGCCAAAGCGACCGGGGCGGCAGCCCCTTCTGGCCAATTCCTGACCTTGGAATGATAAGCAAGGGGGGCCAGCAACCCAACTGATCCCTCTTCAGTGCGCACTTCGTCGCGCCCCAAGGTCACAGGTCGGTGGCTGCATCCACGGGCCGATTGCCGATGTAGCAGCTGGATCCATAGAGCGCACTCCGGCCGCAGCAACACAACTGGCGAAGGGGAAGTGGCTGCTGCGCCCTGCATCGACTCGGCTAGCCGTTGCCTTGTGCAGTTGGGACGAGGGCTGCCGCGCGCATCACCTTTGCGTTTCCTCGGTAAGGACGCTCAACGCTGCGGCAGGATCCTTCAGAAACGGCAACAGCCTGTGCACCAACTGCTGGGCTGTCGGGAAGTGCAGCCGCGGCGCGCCAGGCGCCGCTCCTCCTCGCAAAATTCCTGTCCTGACGATGGCACCCGCGCATAGGTCCTGCGCATCGGAGGGCGGGAATAAATGGGGTGAGATAGCCTGGAGGCCAGCGGGAAGCTGCCAGGCATGATTGGGGTCCACAAGGCACGTGCGCCATTAGAAGATCCAGGGAAGTGGATTCACAAACGGGGAAATGCATTCTTGCTGGTTCTTTGTTCTTCTCCCAGTTGTGGAAATTGTTGTTCTAAAGGAAAACACCACTTCCCTGCTGCCGAGCACAAACGAATCTGGCGAGAAGCAGACAGCGAGGCGGGGGTTGTGGCACACAGTTCCCACCGTTTGCCAACAAACTGCCTTGTTCAGACTCAGCCACCCTCGCCAGGCAACAACGATGCAGTTCGACAATATGCCCACGGCATCTACACTGCCCAATTCCCTCAAGCAAGACAAAGCTGCCATCAAGACCCCAGACGAAGTGGAGGCCATCCACTCACCTTCGCAGGGATGGCTGCCGCAAGGTCTCCGATTGCCCAGCCAGCTTCCTTAACCACGTCCACTGCAGTCTCGAACTGCAGATGTAACTGCGCAGCCACTTCAGCACCGAGCCAAGGCATGGCGGGCAGAACGACAGCCTTCATATCGGCCCACACTGCTGCCAGCACAGGACAGAGCCTGACGAGCTGCAGGTGCACAGCATGTAGTGCCTGGCACTCAGCAGGTCCAGGCGTGACTGCAGCACCGTAGAGAGCGCTGCAGCTGGCCGCCACGCCTGTTGGCACGTGCTTGTTCCCACCTGCACAGAAGCAACACGCATGGCAAGGTTTTAAAACAGCGAAACTCTACAGCATTTGAGGGTTCTTGGCTGCCCAGAGCAAGTCCTTGGCTGCCCAGAGCAGAGTTCTTTGCTTCAGAGCAACACACAAGCAGCTGTATGACAGCTGTGGTTCAACACAGCTTCCAACTGTGGGACACAGGCGCCTTTGCCTCGCAAGAAATACAACAGCAAGCGATTCGAAACAACACACTGAATAACAGCAGACAACTGCTCTGGCTCCAAACAGCACACAACCAGTGAAGCTGGCAGTGTCACCTGACGGAATGAAGGCACCTGGCGCACGTGGCTCGCTTCTCACAGGCCAGTATGGCTTGGACCTGGCACACACAGACCCTGGCCTTTAACTCCCTGGAATTTCCCAAGATTTGACATCCAAGGACGTGGCACATAACACAGGCAGCTTTACCACAAGCAGGTCCTGTCCACTTCCCACCTCTTCAGCATGGAGAAAGTGGGTTCGATCCACTCATAGAAGGCAGACCACTTGTCCACGCCTGTCTCTTTGCAGTCATCATCCGGAGACGTCCCTGGCTTGGGCAGGAGCAGGGACAGGCGATGGCAAGCCTCAGCCACCACTGCCTCGCACTTCATCAGCCGACGACTGCGCACCTCACCAACACCAACACCAACACTCAGGCTCCCCAACTCTACAGCACAATCCCTGGCCCTTGATCTGGCACGAGCATTCAGCTGCCGCATGTCCTTGGGTTCCTGTTTCTGCGGGGACGCCTGTCAGCACCGGGGAAACAAAGCAGCACAATGTCATGGCGCATACTTATGTCACAGAGGTGGATCACACGTAGAACAGGGCACTCAGCCCCTCCCAGAAGCACGCCCTCACCTCCAACTCGTCGCCCGCCAACTCCAGCTGCCGCTCCAGCTGTGCCACTTGGGCCTTCAGCCTCACGCACTCCGCCACCTCCTGGGCGGAAGATGAATGCCGGCATCTGTGACGCAGGCCCTCCAACACCCGCGTGAGCTCCTCCCCTTCCGCCCTCAGCCGCCGGTTCTCCTCTTCCAATTTTTCCACTTCCCCGCGCTCCCTGCACCGAAACAGACCTCGCCAAACTCAACGGTCCGGACCGCAAATCTAGGGGCCGCGGGGTGCGCCGGCCAGCCTCTGCTGAGAAGGAAATCGATCCTCAGATGCCGCCAGCGGGGCACAGGGAACGAGGAGCCGCGGAGCGAGGGGGCGCTCACCGGCCGCGGACCCTCTTGTCAATCCGGTTCACCGACATCCCCGGGCCATAGGTGGTCGGCTGCTCGGATACTTCGTCGGGCAGGGGCATCCCGCGCAGCGCCTGCCGCACGCGGCAGCCGTCACAGCTTTTTTCGTCCCATCTCATTCTCCAGCGCGCGAGACGGGCGACAAGGGATGGGATCAAGCCGGTCTGCGCCGTTGGGGGCGCGGCTACACGCGTGCAGCGAGCGCCCGCGGCGAATGCCTTGCCCTGAGTTCTGCTAACGGGTCTCGGGATGGACGCAGATCCCTGGAAAGGCGCCACGGAGCCACTGCGGCCCGCGATCGCCGCACGCGAGCCCGCAGCAACGCTCCAGCGAGAATTCTTTTTTCCAACAAGCCGATCAGGACCGGCACGGCATCGGGGGAGAGGGGGGGGGGGGGGGCCGGCGGAAAAGAAGCAGCCGCCGGGGGCAGGGGCCGGTCGGCGGCGAGCAAAGCCGTCTGCGCCGGAGCGGCGGGAAGATGACGAGGTGCGGGGCCTGGGGAGGTCCCCCCCGGCGGAAAACGGCGCGGGGCAATCCTCCCGTGGAGAGAGACGAGAAAATCCGCCCGAGCGACGCTGAAACGGCGCGCCCAGCGCCCCGCCCCGAGCGGGCCGTGTCCGAGCCAGGCACCGGCACCGAGGACATATTCCGGGGCGGCAGCCGGTCGCGGGACAACGTGGCGCCCTCCGATCGCGCCAGGCCGCCGCTGCGGGGCGTCCAGCCCAGCGGGGTCCTATTCTCCCCGAAATCGGGGCCCCGCACACGATGCAACGCTCAGGCTGGCCGGGGGCTGGCGCGGCGGCCCGAGCGCCGGCGATTTTCTGGGCGCGGCGCCGGCCGAGTCAGAGCGCCGGCTACGATCGCATCGGCGAGGGTCCGGCGCCAGGGCCTCATGCCGCGATGCCTTCCCACCCACCTGAGCGACCCTGGGTTGGGGGAAGGGAGCTTGGATGGATGCGGGGCAGTGCGCAGGCATCTACTGCCGGCCGCAGCCCGCCGTGGCGAGGGCCCTCGGTTCGGCTCGCCGTTGGCAACAGCCCTCGAATCTCACACAGCAACGACGCGGCGCCAAAGGGGGCGCGCTGCAGAAGTTGGCCAGTTCCCGATGATTTTGTGAATCTTTTTGGTGCTCGGGGGTGGAAAAGATCCCCGAGTGACGCATACGACGGCAAGCGTCGGTAGTTGTGATTCGAGCCGAATTGCATGCAGGCCTTGTCTATCTCTGAACTGATTAGGAAAATCACCTAGCAGCATGCCAAATCATTAACTCCGCTCCCTCCCTCTCTCTGCCTTGCTAATATTAGCTCTCTACTGTGCCTGTTACATTTCTCTATAATCGGTTGTCCGCTACATCATCCGCTCTCCTGTCCTCTAATTCTGCCTGGCTATATTATCCGCCTTTCTGTCCTTGCCCCTTCTTGCCTTGCTCCACATATATATCATCCGTTCTTTTTCCCTTTGCTCCTGCTCTCGCTCTGGTTGCTATGATTACCTGCTCCTTGTTGCCGCTCCCTGGGTTTCGTTATCATCTGCCTTTTTCTAAGATTAGGGTCTTATGAGATTGGCCGATTGGGAATGGGGCGCATTTACGCTATCATTGTCTCGGCTCGTTTCCTGCTAAACAGCAAGCAGGACTTAATTGCGGACGGATTGTCGTGAGCCTGTTGACCTGCAAACAATACACCAACGTAGTCAGCAACATGGGTGGTGATTGGGTCAACTGGTCGCAGCGCGAATGGGACCAAGTGCCGCAGCGCGAAGAAGCAGGCGAGACGGACGATCTGGGCTACTATTTGCCCTCCCAACTGCTGTGAAGCCAATTTTGGCTCGCCGGACAATTGGATCGCAATGACGGAAGCGACTCAGAATGCGAGTACTTGGTGCTCACCCACGCGTGCCAGGCGCAGGCGCAGGCGCAGGCGCAGGCGCAGGCGCAGGCGCAGGCGCAGGCGCAGGCGCAGGCGCAGGCGCAGGCGCAGGCGCAGGCGCAGGCGCAGGCGCAGGCGCAGGCGCAGGCGCAGACGCAGGCGCTCCAACTACCCCATACACTCCAACTACTGGCACGCTGATTGGCTGACCCTCCCGCTCCGTCCAAACCCTACTATCATACGGCGCTCTGATTGGCTGACGCCCCCGCTCCCCCGAAACAGGCAGAATATGTAGCGCGCTGATTGGCTGACGCCCCCGCTTCCCCGAAACAGGCAAAATATGTAGAGCGCTGATTGGCCCACGCCACCCTCCCCCGAAATAGGCAAAATATGTAGCGCGCCTGGATGCCACACCCGCCCACGCCCCCAGACCCTGGCCTGCCCCCTCCACCCTCCTCGCACAGCGGCCCGTATCGCCCCAGCCCCCGCCTTCGACTGCGCGCTGCCATGGCCACCAACGGCACGACTGGCCTGGCAGGAAATCTGCATCTGGCGCCGCGACCAACAACGCTTGATACCTCCCAGATCAATCCCCCTCGACCCTCCTCGCACAGCGGCCCGTATCGCCCCAGCCCCCGCCTTCGACTGCGCGCTGCCATGGCCACCAACGGCACGACCGACCTGGCAGGAAATCTGCGTCCGGCGCCGCGACCAACAATGCTTGATACCCCCTAGATCATCTCTCCCCCCCCCCTCCCACCCTCCCACTCGCCCCTGCACCAACCGGCTTCCGTGCAAACACCCACACCCACACAACGCAAACACCTCCCACCACAATGTAACCCCCCCCCTCCCCCCTCCCCATTTTCTCGCCCTGAAGGCCCTACCCACGATCTCGACATGCAACTCGTCATTCACCGCAACTGCATGACACGGAAACTGCAGAATGGGGCCCACTCACCTGAAACTTTCCGTGCCGCTCTTCCTCCCTGCAACCCACATCCCAGGCACCAGTGTCCATGCCGCAACCTGCGTCCCACGTAACAGCCTGCACGGCCATGGCGCTGCCCTCGCTGGGGTAACGGGGTAACCCGCAACCCACTCATTCGCACACAAATGCCGGTGCCCGCACTCATTCGCCGGCCATGCCGCTGCCCTCACCACGCTCAGCCTGGCAGCCTTGCAGTGTGACCCGCGTCCCACGCAGGAGGTGCCCTTCCGATTTCCGCGCCCCGCAATCCCCCGCCGGCGCTGCCCTCCGGAGGGCGGCATCGCATTGGGATCCCAATGTTGGAGGGCCGAATCCGCGCAGCCCGCATCCGCGCACCCCACCCCGCACCCTGGCGCCCATGGTGCCCTCTCGCCCTCGCAGCCCGCACCCCCCGCAGCAACCGGGCAGAGGCCATGGCGCTGCCCTCGCTAGGGCTGCAGCCTCGCAATCAGCAGCCCACCCGAAAACCTGATGATTATAATACTGCGGCGGCCTTTAGTGATGGCGACATCCACTGCCAGGTCGGCGGGGTGACGGGCGAGTTGCACGATGTAGCCCTCGGGCTGGGCGCACACGGCAATGTGCGCCCTCGGGCTGGCTACATCACCCCCGGGGATGATGTCCGCCCTCGGGCGCTTCGCGCCCTCGGGCGGACATCGGAGGTACCGTACGCAGCCCTCGCTCCGGTTCTGAACTGATTGGTGGAAAATCACCCAGCAGCATGCCAAACCACCACCTCCATGCCTAGGCCACGCACTTTTTGCTGAAAATGTCATTTGGGCCCAGGCGCACTGTTGCAACTGGAACTGGTCCAGCGCTGTTGACAGCTGGACGTGCAAAGAGGCGATGAGGCATAAGGAATTGCATTAACGACATTGGTGAACTGGCTGGCTGTAAGGAATACGATTCCGGTTGTCCCTTTCCTCCTCTCTAAACCGATGCCGTGTGCTCGAGCCTACGGTCCCCAGTCAGGAGTCGCCACCCCTCGACGCTGCCTCCCTTCGTCAACACCAACAAACGATGGGCCGGGTTTCGGGAGCAGATTACGGTTCTCCGCGTAACCCCGTGACGCTGAGCAGCTGCCCCGCCATCACATTTTTTTGCCGCAATCGGTTACTCATCGCTGGATCCAGGAGGCGTCCCAGCGGCACCATCCAGCGACAACAGAGAGGCGCCCCGACGTCCCCAAACCCACAACCCCAAAACGCCGCTATCCCGCCTCCTGAACTCCGTTCCGGAATTGCCGCCCTTTCCGAGGGTGCCAATCCGACCTGCGTGCCTCGCCCCCCTCCTCATAAATAGGCTCGCCCCCTCGCTGCTCGCCATGTCCCTTGGGACTGCCACCGCGGACGTGGACTCGCAACCGGGGCGCGGCGCACCAATCGGCGTTCTCTCGTTGGACAGGCCGGCGCCCGCGGCGATCTCGGCGGTGGCGTCACGGGCGGCGGCAGATGCGGGGATGACGGACTGCCGCGGGGGCGACAGATCGGTCGAAGCTGGCGTGGCCGCGGGGAGCGACTGGGCGTGCGGAGAGGCGCGGCGCGGCGGCGGTAATGGGGCGAGCCCGGGACTTCGTCACATGGAAATGTCGAGCCCAATCTCGGGGAGAGATACGGTGAATGGCGTGAAAGAAGTGGAGGTCGGCGTGACCACGGCGAGCGACAGGGCCTGCGGAGAGGCACGGGGCGGTGGCGGCAATGGGGCGAGCCCGGGACGTCACCACTTGGAAATGTCGAGCGAAATCTCGGCGAGAGATACGGCGATGAATGGCGTGAAAGGAGCGGAGGCTGGCGTGACCACAGCGAGCCACTGGACCTGCGGAGAGGCACGGGGCGGTGGTGGCAATGAGGCGAGCCCGGGCATGCACCACAAGGAAATGTCGAGCGAAGTCTGGGGGAGAGACGCGGCGATGAATGGCTTGAAAGAGGTCAAAACACAGGCGACGCGCGCGGGATCTGGGAGAGGCCGGAAGCGGCGGCCGGCCGACGACGCCAGCGCGGCGGGATTGGCGCAGGGTGCGTCCGGGAGGTTGAAGCGGCGTTGTCCGGCGTCCAAGGTAAGGGGCGCAATCGCGAGGTCCGAGAGGGTTTGCGGTCGCCCGAGGCCATACGATTCTGACTCCGCGTTTGGGGAGCCCAATGTCCGACAATGCGCGACGAGTTGTTGCTGGGTGTGCACCCGTCAAGTTGAGGGGAGGCGCAGGGGACGACTGCATGTCTGGGATTGGACCGATGGGTTGCCCAATCAGTATATACAACAGCAGTATGCATTAATCATTTCTATACATTCCTCAGCAATAAGACCTGGGCAGCACACTGCCTTTATTGTCTGGAGGCGATGTTGGCAGAAATCTATGCAAGCCGTTTATTCGCATCGCGTGGCTCGTTCAGTTCTACCCAGATCCCTCCCGAACTCTCCTGAAAGTTGCCTCAAGAAAAGGAAAAGCCTTCAACTCCGTCTGCGGGAACGAGCTTTACTGCCGTGCAGAAGACAATATCCATGCCCTGGAGTCCACCTTCCTTTGTGGAAGCAGGAACTGGCCCATGTCCTCTGCAGCCCTCCCAATCCCTGCATCCCTCTCACCCAGCCAGCAGTGATGGCTAATGACCATACTTGCTGATAGCCGTTCACTTTCTGAGCCAATTGCACATCTTCTCGACATACCTCCAAATCTGAAGAAGACATAGAGGCTCCCAGCTGCCAGGTCAGAATTGGTCCACTCGACATTGGCAGGCGCCTTGCGCCAAGCCAAGTCATGAAAGTGTACAAATGCTGCGAAGTACAAATGGGCAGTGGGATCCCAGTCTTCCAAGGGTGCAGCAGAAAATCGCTGTTCTGGTAATGCCACCAATGAAATGTTGGACAGAAAGAAGCGACTGGAAATGTGTTAGTTGTGGACTCGCACAGAAGGATGATGCATTGCAATGTATTGGATTCCTGGAAAACTGGCACAGCTGTTGCATGCGCTTTTGAAAATTCCAGCATCTTTATCAGTGTCAGAAAAGTGCCAAATTCCATCCAAGTAGCAGCATGCTGAAATGCTGATTGGTGCAGTTTTAACATGTTTGCGCGCTTGCTGTCTGGTGAACAGTGCCCACTGGCATGTCCTCCACCTCAGCAACACTTGGAAATTTTGTAGCAGTGATGCTTCCTTGTTCAGAAACATATTGTGTTATCAAATGTGCCACGCTGCAGTAAATGTGCATTTGTATATTGTGGTTACCAACAATTGGACATGATGAGCACATGGCTTATTGAATAGGCGATGAGTATTGGTTTCGAACACGATGATGGTATCTCATCAAACATGCCGTTGCATGTTGCACCACCTTTGCCACATCTCTTTGCTTTGGCCGATTGCTTTTGCCCTCTGGACCTGTACGACAGTAGCTGGTTCCAGCTGGAATAGAGCAATCAAGCTTTGTCAGTATGTGGCCAGCATGCTTAACTGCCACTACTGCCGTCCATCGTCACAACATTTATTGCTGGTTACTGAGACAATGATGACCATGCACCTATGGCCATTGGCCATTTGCCACACACATATTTCCACGAATCAACTCTATCTGCGCTGTAGAGGGCATCAAAATGCCAGCTCTTAAACAAACCATCCACCATGCCCCCCCTTCAGACTGCCGCTTGCTGACACTGTTTGTTGATGCCTTTGCTCAGCCTGTCAACCTTGTGCACCACCTTGACAGCGTCCCTCCACGTGGCAGGCTCCTTGTCGAGGAGCATTTCAAGGCGTCTGAGTTGGCATGTGGGCAGGACAGGTACAGGGAATGGGATCAACAAGTTTTGAGGCGCCTGAGGGCCAGGGTGGAGAATGGTGTTGGGGCCGACTGTGGTGCTGCTGCTGTGAAGGCCAGGGAAGACTTTGTGAAGGTGGTGTTGAAGGGTGAGGGAGACAGGGGTACACGCAGGCAGGGGCCGTCAGAAGAGAGAATGCTCAAGGTGTGCAGTGGTCCAGCTGCCTTGGAACATCGTTGAATTGAGAGTAGCAGAAGCAGAATCATCGTGGGGTACTGTGGGCCCAAGGTGTGCCTGCTGGTGGATAATCACACTGTATCCCCAGAGGGTCTGTATGGCAGGCAATCAGCAGTGAAGAAGTTGTCTGGAGCTCAGCAACCACCCAAAACCATCACGACAGCCCCAGTTCAATTTTCTGTAGCACAACAAGCTGTGCAACACGTGAATTGAGCCTTCCAAGGTTTCTATTTGCATCCAATTCCATAGCAGAATCTGCGCATGTGTCGATGCAGGTGATCTTGGCGTACATCGCAGTGCTGAAGCAGGCCTATCCCGATCTTGTTGTGGACCCTTACATCGTCAACACTGACCCCGACAGCTGCGCAGATTTCCATGCCCTGAGGATGGCGTCCAAGCGATTCATCATCTATAGGCAGCCCAACTCTCCTGCTTCTTCCTTCCCCACTGCCTCACCCCCCGACTCTATCCCTGGCTCACCCTCCACCTCTGGAACCAGCAGGGCGGTACCCTGGACATATGGACTTTCTCGACTGTGGGACACGGTGTGCACAGAGTTTGGTGACACAAAGTACGGTGACCTCAAGCAAGGAACTCAGGGCATCATGAGCAAGGCCTGCAATCTGATGGTGAGCACACCTGTGACAGAGTGGGAGATGTGGGAAGAAGCTTGTGCTGGGCGTAATGGCTTGCACAAACCTGTGCCCAGGAAAGCGCTCCCTTGTTTTCATCGTTGGGGTTGTGGAATGGAGATTGAGCCAGGGGAGGGGTTGGGTGGGGAGAGGAGCTCTTTTGTTTTTATAATCAACAAAATTTTCCAGCAAAAGGAATACAGCAGGGGCTGTGCATCTTCACCTAGTTCAGTGGTGAAAACAGATCAGTGCCTTTGCAACCTTCAGGCAGAGTCCAAGAAAAAAGGGATGTGATTCAACTGCCAGAGAGTCTGCTCATGTAGCCAGTTATCTTGTGAGAGTTCTGTTGTGTGTTGTGGAACTTCGCACCTGATGACATTTGTCCATAGTACACAACAATGCCCTTATCACCACAAGGCAGTGGCGCTTACCAAGTTGTAGTAATCGCTGGCAGTGATGTGTGCGGCAGCTGAAGTTGCATTTCTATTCCAACATAGTGCATCTTTTGGTTTGAAAGATGGAGCTCTTTTTGTAACCATACACTTCAGTGTATTCAACCTCTTGGCGATGTGTGAACCTCTGCTTGGAGCACAGCTGACGCATTCATCACTGCCAATGCATGTCTTTTGCGCTGTTCCTTGTCTTCGTCTTTTTTATCTCATAGCTGGACTCTGGAGCGTAGGTCTGCACAGGCTCTTCTGGGAATGTAGGAATTGTGTTAGACACAGATGCCTATAGTATCAGAGTCGATCTCTCTGAACTTCTCACCTCAAGCAAGGAGAGATTGCACAAACCCGGTTCTCTTTGTCTTGAAGGGCTGTGTCCCGTGCCTCCCATTTTGATGCAATACTGGGCAGCTCTGCAGACCATTGTATATTTTCAACAGGAGCAACATCAATGTGCAGACCCAAGAATCAAATCCACGTTCCAGCTTTGCAAGTTTGCTGCACCTGATCAGTTCAATGGCTGTTGGTCCACTTGCAGACAACGAGATGGGAGTGCGGAGAGGTTCTCAAGCAGCATGTGCTAGAGACCACAACTTGGTCCACAGCTGTCCTGAAGGGAGTGCTGGGGTCCTGGGGTGGGAGGCTGTACCTCACTGATGGTGTGCTGCCGCACGATGAAAAGGGGGCTGCAAAGGATGCCCCAGGGCTCGTCTGTCACGTGAACGATGCTGCAAATGGCATGCTACCAGAGTTCCTTCGATCCAATAGGCCAGACTCCCTGATGCACTTCATGAAGGTGCTTCTTTGGTCAGCTCTCCTCAACTTTGTTTGATGATGAAAGGAACATTTGATCTGAAACATTGTATTTGTTTGGAATAATTGATCGCTTATCATTTACTTCTGTAGTTGAATCTTGAGTTGTGCATTCAGAGGTAGTTTATATTCTGAAAGTTTTGCAAGCTGGCAGCACGCTACCCTTTTGGCACACCAAGGCAAGGGCAAGCACATGTCTGCACCTTCAGTATTCGTGTTCTTAACGCTGTCGTCACAGTCCAGTGCTCAAAACCGAAACCAAATGCAACACTGGTGGAGCTGCTAAGCCGAATTGCATTCTGCAACCTATCAAGTTTGCAATGCTGTGACTCTTGGCGTCACTTGGTCCTGTGCACTGTTCTATTGTGTGAGCCCTGCTTGCCACGTCGTTTTCCCTGGTTGGCTTGCCAATCCTGCACTGGGCCATTATTGCTGCAAGTTGTGATAATGAACTACAACTTGGGCGGTAATTTTCCTGGAGAAGGCAATTGCTGCTCTGGACAGGGCTGTCAATGCGCAGCAAAAGCTTTATGCCTAACTCTGCCAGTTGATGCAATCATTTTGCATGGAGTGTCATCACCAGAAAGCGTTTAGTCTTTGTCTTGTACTAGTACATTCCTAAATAAGTCCACAACCTCACATATCATGCCCCCCATGGAGCCAGGATTGTCAGCGTGACCCACACCGCATGCTGCCCGCACAAAAAGTTGTCCCCTTTAATCTGTGTGTAAAGGCACCTGAAGTGCTGCCGAAGGGTGTGACATGGAAGAAGTCCAGCAGGGTCTTCTGTGTGACCCTCATCGCCAAAAATGGAAGCGAGCCAGTTTGTCGAGCACCCTGTCATCGCCTGCCAGGTGCAGTTGCGGTTTTTGATATTTGAAGGCAAACTGTAGCTGTAGGGAATACAGCCAACTTATCGCAAGTTATTGAATGAAATGCATGAAGATTCCTGGCTTCTATCAGACTCACTGACAACGAGCGTTTGGTTTTGTGGGCTCCTTGGATTCAGGTTGAGAGCAGTGGTACAGCTACATTCTCCTTCTTTTGCCCTCTGGGTGGTGGCTGCCAGCTCACGGCCTTCCATCAGGAGACCAAGAGGATGAGATCCTTCAATTGTGGCAGCGGCGATCTCATCGTTCAGCCCATAGCCACAGAGGCCAACATCAGGCGGCTCGAGCGCGTGCACAGCACCCTGTTCAGGAGCCATAAACGACACCGCTACGTAAGCATGTCCCTTGTTAGTTTTTAAGTTTCATCCGGACATTGTGTTGATGAATTTTGCATTGTACATTATCTTGTAAGTGCATCACATTTAAGAGCCCAGGGGCTGCCCTCCTCCTAATAGAGTTGGACTTGTGCTGCCTGGCAAGAGTACGCAAGGTTGTTGGTGTGTGGTCGACGCCCATCGTATTGCTAGTCAGGTTGCATGCACGGCTGGCGTCAAACAGTATTGTATCTCTGTCCTGTACCCGTGGATAAACAGCATTGGCTAACTGGCGAAAAAGCAGGCTCTGCCTTGTTCTAAAAGCATGAATCTGTGACAGCATAGAAAAGTAGTACGCATTTTGCATGGGGAAATTTGTTGGGAAATTTCCATCTTGGTGAACAGCCTATTTTGGTGAAGGGCAGAAGGCAAAGAGCAGTTGTGGAGTGCATTGCTTTGAATGCTAGGGTGACACCACAGCAAAAAATATTTCCCACCGCTGATGGATGTCCACAAGGCCCATAAGCTGGAAAATAGTGCCCTTCAAGGATTGGCAGCATGTCCACCTAAAGACAACAGAATAGATGGGTATGATCATCACCTGCATGAGATTTGGAGCCCTGCAGCCCCCACTTGCTGTGGGGGCTAGGACCCCATGGACCAAATGTTGCAGGCCAGAGTACTTCTTTGACAGGGGATACACTTCGTCAGCATGCCGACAGCCTCGCTGCTCCTGTCTCGTTTGCACCTCCTCACACAGTGCATGCACAAATCTCTGCACTTTATTAGTTATACAGTCACAAAGCCTGTGACACATCTGACCTCAGGGCACAATACCTGAAGTGCTGTGAACACAGAAATTCCACTGAGTGTTGTGCTGCCTGTTTTGGCAGAATGCATCGGTGCTTGCGGATTCCCTGTAAATGTGGTTTTGTCTCATAACTGCTGCTTTATTTCGTTCTTCACCTTGACCTGCCCGTGCTGAGCGCTGCACCAAACATTTGCTGCAGTTATTGTTGTCATACAGGGGTCCCCACCAGGCAAAGGGCATTTTCCATCTAAAAAACAAGCATGTGTCAGAACATTTCTCAGCAGGAAGTTGATGTACAGACCTTGGGCAGGTGGCCCTTGCTTCTGTAGCAAGTTGCAAAGTCTGCGCTGCTGGCACTGCAGTGTTCTGGTCATAGTTCTTGACCTGGACCCGCGATCGTTACTGCATTGCTGAGTCAGGCCAGTGACCTAGTTTGCTTCCCTTTAGTTTGAGTCTGTTTGCCAATGTTGGCTCTTGATTCTGTGCTGATCTCCCGCGTTCTTGACTTGCTGCAGCTGCTGCCGCTGGACATGTACCTTGAAGAGGGCATCCCCCTGGTCCTTTACATAAGGAACAGCCAATCGGCTGAGATGGTGGAACTCCCCTTTTTGAGTACGCATGCATTCCTGACCTTCACCAGCGCAACATCTCAACCTCCAGCATACAAGGTGCTGAAAGTTGGATGGGACAATATCACTGATGAAATGCTCAGCACCCAACAGATTTTTGTTTGGTAGTTTTCCTGATTGTCTTCAAGGTGCTGGATCCTTTGGCTGCTGGTACTCAAGTGTCGGGTATGTGGAAACACACCAGGGTGTTTGTGCAAAAGGCCTTCAGCAGAAGTGTGGGTAGGCTGCAACGCATTGGAATCTCACAAGGTGTTAAACATGGTTGCTGCTTGCAACACCGGCAATGTTTCCCTAAGTATAAGGGTGGCACTGTGCTGCTTCATGTGAATGTCGTCAGCAAGGATTTTATTGCTGATTATGGCATTTGTGGGCGTGTGTTGTTGTGATAGTGCTGAACCAGCAGAAGCAAAGTTGCACACATCATCTGGTTCGCTCACATGGGGAAATGAAGGACAGGAAGCAATTGCGACATTGCGCTATTTGGTACCCATGCTGCAACAGGGGCCATTCTCTGATCGGACTGCTGGGACTGTGTGCTAGAACCTGCAAATGCATTGTAGGACCTATGATTTCCGGGCAGTTCCTGCACACCGCAGCAGGCTCGAAAATGGCAGACTGCAGGTTTGGTGTGCACTGCCCTGTGGAAGGATGTTATGCCATGCTGTCACTGCCTTTCAAATTAGCTTTACAGGAGGTGGAGGCATCGTCATCGAGCATTGACCGTCATTGCCTTCATAAAGGCTGTTTTGTGCTGCAAACACTGGATGCAGAAAGGATCTCCATGGCAGCAGACATTGACCATCGTTGCTTGCTTGGTGTTGTCAAACAGGTTTCTTGCAATGACCTGTGCCTGACAAAGGAGCCTTTCGTCGCCTATGCCTTTGAGGAGCTTGCCATGATCGATGGGGAAACCCACATGATGGGCGGCAACAACCAGCTGGCTGCAGATGAATGGATGGAGAGTGCCTATTTTGCGATGTGGCCCCCTGGTAGAGGTGTGGAGGTATGTGTGCAATGCCTCAAGGCATTTGCAGCATAGTGAATGCTTGGTAGGCTTAACATAGTGGTGTGCATCCGAACTGCACCTTTCTGACTTTGTTGAGCTTTGTTTCCATATGCGATATGCATCCTCAGAGCATCCATGATTTCGTTGCACCGCTGTTAGAGCAGGGGCATACACATTTGGCCGGAATCTGAGAAGAGAAGCCTGCCATTGCAATGCTTCTCTTGTGAATTGACTACTGAAATAGCCTTGCACTGCTCTTGGATCTGAAATTTGCACACGAGTTGCACCAAGTTCAGCGTGTACCAAAACCATTGCCCCGTTGGTGTTGATTGCTAGCTTCAAAGCGCACGTGAACATCTTAGAACTGCTGTGCTGAGAGCCTATGGCAGTTATGGCACTTTGGGCAGATCTCTTGTAGTCCAGCAATCGGATTGCTGTGCACACAGGAGCGCATGTGCAATGGGGCACGAAAAAGCCGCGAATTAGAGTATCTATAAGGCTGTCTTCGCCCACAAGTGGACAGGCGATTGGGCTGTTCCATGTGTTCTGGTGCTGAGGCGACATGCAAGCGGTTCATGGAGCACCTCTCCTGATCTGCAAATGTGTCCATGTTTCAGTTGATGGCGTCAAATTGGCAGAGAGAATGTAGATGACAACATCGGAAGTGCAGAACTGTGCCTTGATGCTCAACTGGTAAACAAAGTCCAGCAATATTTGTATAGGTAGCCTTGGCAAATCTTCGTGCATATCATGCATTGCATGCGCATGCCGTGCTGGCGATTGTTGCAACAAACTGGAGCCAAACTTGATGTGCGAGGAACAGAACAAAAAGACAATCAAAAAACACGCGTGCATCCAACGAAACAAGCGGGTCACCCTGCGGCACACCACACGCCACACAGGTGAAAAGCAGCACCAAACACACTGTCTGGATTCCGCGACTCGGTTCTACGTCTAAACACAATCCTCACTGCCAACGCTCGACTCTCAGCAGTTGAACACAATTTCAACATGGTCAAGAATCATGCAAACAATACCGAACACAAGAAATATAGACAGAAAGTGCAATCAATTGCTGTTTTCTTGTTCTATGTTCCGTTAGCTACTTAATGACTGTTTGTTACGCTATTGCACTTTCGTACAACAAAATGGCGACAGAGGAAGGATGGAAAGGTCAGGAAATGCGAAATGGGCGCTGATCCTGTCGGTTCCTGGCTCATCTTTGCGAGGGCGCACTTTGCCAAAAAGGCCTGACGGGGTGTCACGTGACTGACTGCGCCAGTGCGCTTGGGACGACGAGCTCCTGGGCTCCACGGGCCCTCCAAGCGAGGGCGACCGCCCCCGGGACAGGAACATGCGGACCGTCGTCGTGCGCACCGTGCAGCGCCTCCTGGATTTGCTGGAGGGGCGGCTGGACACGTCCCGGGTGGCTGGGAGCGTGCCCTCGACCGACGAGGCCCTCGCGGTGCTGGCCGGCCTGCTGCCATGCCTGCTGGACGTCTCGCAGGAGCTGGCGAAGGGCGTCGGCGAGGATGGGGCGCAATTTGTTAAGGACCTCTGCGAGGTGCGGTGTGTTGCGCATGGTACTCTTGCTTCGTATGTCGAGGATGCTCCTGTGTCGTTGTCCGTTGGTGGCGTTGTTTCCAGTCATCACCGTCAAATCGTACGTAGCAAGGCAAGGAGGTAGCCCTCAGCTTCCTGTTTGCCGAGCAAAGCGGTGTCCGCGGCTGATTTCCAGTCATGTAAATGTGAGTCTGAATGTGTGGAGGCAGTGATGCAGGCCGGGTTGCGCACTGTGTTGTGGACGTCGAATGACGATGAAAACGTAGCGTACTGCAGCGCGCTGTATTGCTTGTAAAATTGCGCACGCAACATGATCTTGAGCGATTGCTGTGGGAAACGGGTACGGAAAAACATATCAGGGCATGTCATTGGGCGTCTGTGAACATTGCCGGACGTTTGTTGCCCACCGGGTGAAAGTCAGAAGATAGTAGATAGTACGCACAGTGATGCAGTAGATACAGCAAATACAGTAGTACAGCGGCCACTACAACTATATTACTGTATGGCTGTGGCCAGTTTGTCCTTGTCCATGTTGACCGTGAGCACATATTCTGTTGTTCATTCATTCACTCTTTTCAATTATTCGCTCAGTTCACTTACTTGCATCCCATCGCCGCCTTTGCAGACGGCCCAGAGGCATGTGCCCGAGTCTTCTCCCCTCTTGGCTTTCGTCGAGAAGGGTGACGAGCAGTGCTGGGAGGAGATGTTGGACGACGGGATGCCGGCCAACGGGTCAGTTGCCCCGCAGGGTCAGCTGGATGCATGGCTAGACAGGTCGGTCTCACCAGCATCGAGGGTCGAATCAGGCCTGCCGTCGCCTTGAAGGCGCTGTGGGATGTTGCATCGGTACCTTCAGCTCTTTGTTGCATGCTTTGGGCTAGTCAAGCCTTGCAGCTGCTTGTTTTAGGGTCAGGAAACACGAATTGCCATGAGCCAGAGGCCAGCGGCTTGGCCTGCAGATGTCTGCAGATACCTAGATTATTGATGGTTGCAGCTTTATATGGAGGCCACACAAGAGCGAAACGGGCGGGGCTACTTTGTCATACTGCAACTAATAGATGTAAGGAGCAGTACCGGGTCAGTACTGCTGTTCCTCATGACAGCATATCTGCGCTGTAGTTCATCGAAAGCAAAATTCCTTGTAGCTTTTGTAGTGGGTACACCTACTCCCCAAAGACAATGATTTCAGCGCAAAAAGCAACAATCTTGAATCGAAAGTAGCAGAAACGCTGAGAGGATTATGGCACTAAGTGGCTGGCGTCTCCTACAGGTACGCCTGCTGCTTGGACGCCGAACTGCGTGCCGCCAGGAGTGGCTGCAAAAAGCGGCTGAGGGAGCGTCTGTTGGAGGTGCGTTCGCGGCTGGAGAAGCGCATGGACGAGGAATGTTTGAATTTGGTCTCTCGCTTGGAGGAGTGTTCGAAACCAGCGTCTCAGCCAGACCTGCTGGCCTCCAACGGAACCTGAGGGATGGCAACAGATGCAGCAGCCAGATGGTGGCGTGTTTGCTGCATGGCTCCAATGCCACGGCGCCAAGAGTCGAAGGGCTGTGGCGTTGGCAGATCGCAGTGCGGCTGAAGGTCGGGGACGGGCACCAATGATGCCGCTGTCGGATGCCTCGCAGCATGATGCATCACAAAAGAGGCGCCACTGCTGAAGTGCGCGCCAGCTGCTGGCAATGCTGCCTTGCATCGACAGTTTGCCACGGCGTTCGACACCAGCGGATTCAGTGGCGGTTCCCTGGGCGGCAGCACCCGAAGCGACGACGTGTTGGTGTCTGAGTTGGTGTCGAGTTCGATCCTGGGCCTTGGGGTCCATTGCATTGCCCATGCAGTTCCGCATGACTACCCAGATCGTACTGCACACTCACTTAGCCCCACTTGCTGTGGCAGCCACCCTGCCCTTGGGCTATCGACCAGCTCAAAGTTCTTCTCAGGCTCCACGTTGGCCATTCATTGCAGCTTCGCGGGCTGCTGGTGGAGCGAGCCTGACACCAGCAAAGCTGTGCGTACCGTCAGCTGCAGTGCATTTTTTGGCGCCATTGCTGTTATTCTCAACTGAACAACTCCGTCAAAACACCTGCGCCAATCTTCACACAGGGTCTTGAGGCCCTACGTGGCTTTCAGACATCACAGCGGTGACCAGGTGCGAAGGCCGTGGCGATGGTGGACAGAATAGCGGGGCCCAGACCTCCTGCCATTCAATGCGCTCCTCTGGCACACCCGCCAAGACATCACCCTTTGCCATGCGGTCGTGGTGGATCGCCTTGAAGAGCCCAACCCGGTAGCCCACCTGGAACACACCAGCAGTCTCTCACTCTCAACAGTGATGGATATGGGGTGCTGGCGTGGCCATGTCACTGCCACCAGCCCCAAAATGGATTGTGGTTCTTGGATTGTAGTTGGATATTGGTTCTTGCTGGTTGTGCTGTTGATTAGCGGTACCAAGGGGCGCTGGTACCACCAGGTCAGGGTCACTGTCGTGCATGCATCAATGGAGGGCTGGGCACATTTTGCACCAGCTTGTGCTGAGAACGTGCTGGGCTAGTACGGAGCCAGCAAGCATTAGCCCATGCTGCGGTTGTTACTTATTTTGACACACTGCATGAGAACAGGGCACGTGGCTGCACGTGTGTGCAGCAGGGCGGAGGGAATCTGGGAAGCGGCTGTGTTTACGGAGACGGATGAGACGGATGCGCACTTTTGATTTCTTTTTGAAATCGTTCCAACACTGGTTGCCATCAGAACCATGTTTCTGACCTCACGGATTCGCTGGCCCATTGTCGTGTGCCCAAGGACCAATTGGCAAGGGAATCCGAACTGTGCCCCCAAGCACTCGATTTCAATAAGAATTCACAAAATGAGCACCTCTGAGGGAGGCAGTCCAACAAGCGCGTCCTGAGCAGATCTTTCAGAAGAGCACAGACACGTATGACTGCATTGGCAGTCACACTGCACGACACTGGGCTCAAAACTTCAGGGCAGTGCAGCGTGCTGTTTTCCGCAGACGTTTGTCCTCTGCGTTCCACAATCTGCGCCCGAAACAGAATAGGTGCAAGACAGTGTTTTTTTTCCTTCTTTTTCCGCTGATGTCACGGTTCATTTCCTGCGCTCACTACAAGGCACAGGCACAGATCAAACACTTTGGGGGGCGTGGAGGTCTAACCGAGAGCGAACCTCCTCAACCAAACCACTAGGCCCAAGCCTTCACAAATGCACTTGACACCGCCTGGCCAATGTCCAAGACTCTCGCCCGAGAGCACATGCAAAAATCACCGACTCCCCACGTTTCTACCGCACAAAAGCTGTTTTGACTCCCAAGCACTCGTGCACCTACAGTACAGTCTGCGTTCGACGCGACACGCTTGCGCAATCGCCATCTCTTCAGGGCGAATTCCCACCACGTTTCCGTGGAATGGAGTCCGTAGATGCGATGTGCGCCCACCTCTTTGGCGGCTTCATTCCGGTCGATCTCCAGATGCAGCTTGCAAAGCCGTGAGACAGTCTCCGCGTCCTCCTCCAGCGCAGTCGGGGTCGATGCGGTGGACAGGGCGAAATCTCCGATCTGGGCACTGACAAACGCCTCTAAAACGAATTGCCAATGACAATGTTACCAAGTGCGCGGTCTTTTTTCACAGGACACGCCAGCCATCTTGAAAGTATCCATTGCCTTGTGTTGTCGACCACCGGAAATTCACGCAGCGTCACATGGACGCTCGGAAGCGGCGCATGGCACACAACACAATCAGTGCCTCGGTGTTTAATGCAGTTGCTAAACTCGAAATCAGTCGCGGCCACAGTCGTTCAGTGCTGGGTGTTGCGTCTCACCAGAGACACACGGTGAAATTGGACATGAAAGGCAGCAAGGGATGTCAGCTCTTCTTTTCGTTATATCTGCCATGGACACTAGATTGGCAGTGTAGACCACCGGTGCCAATCGTGAGTGGCGTCTGTTTGCCATGCTGTTTGTTGGGAACACTTCCAGGCTGCCCTCATAGCCGATGGCAATGGCTGCTGTGCAAAGCAGGAAGGAAGGAAACAAGCACGCTGAAGGAATGCAGCATTCTAAACGGTGAGCATCCTCCCAGTGGGCAACTTGCACTGGCAACTTGTCCAGTGGAATCATGAAGATTTTAGAGCCACATGTTGCATGCTATCAAGCGAAATTTCAGTCAATTGACCAATCAATCAGTCAGTTCGTCAGCCAGACAATCGCTGAATAGCAACAAACCGCGAGTACCAACGACGACCGACCTTGGCCAGGAGTTTGAACTGCTGCTCGGGTTCCCTCAACGCCGTCCGCATCCACTGGGAGCGCGGATGTCGCACCTGCGGCGTCCTCTGCGCCCTGCCTTCGCGCTGCGCCGCATCTTTCCCCTGCCCATCACAAACGGTAGCCACCCCACGCTCTCTCTTCGTCCTGCGGGAGCGGAACGAGGGGCCGCCCGCCATCGAGAACTTCAATTTGCCTGGAAACGGGTCGAACAACGTCAGTCTGACGTTGGTCTCAGAGACATACATCTCTGGGAGATGTATGTCTCTCCGAGCACCCTTGTTCCGCTCCCAATACGACGCCAATCCAATGCCATTACACTGCCATTCCAGCGCCATTTCGATGTGGCTACCAAATCAGCAATCCGTGCACAGCGTTTACTGCCACAGGTGTGCCTGTGCGCCTCCCAAGAGCAACCTCTATCCCATCCACGTGTTTCACCGTGGAATGGTTCTCATCTCCGTTCGCTCGGAAGCTCAAAAAAAATCAGAAAGCAAGCTCAGCTTCTGTCGATGCAATCGTGCCACATCAGGGCAATGGGCGCTGCGACCGCGTCAGATCATTGTCTCCGACTCCGGGGACCGCAATGGCGTTTCAGTTCCACGGGCACAGTACCTACGCAGCAGGGACTGACAATGTACGCCGCCCGCCGCCGTTGGGCTTGGAGCAGCGCGTGGTCCGTGGCGTTGCCGCAGGCATGCAGCGCAAGGGACACGTCGAAAGGCTCATCGTAGTGCTCAACCATGCAGAGCTGCCACGACACGAGGGTCGATGTGAGGACTCCGGCGCCGGTGAATGAGGGCACCACAAGACAGGTTTGCAGTGCGCTGTTTGATACTGTTCTAATGCATTGTGCATCGCTGATGTACCGCAGTGACTGCGGAACAAAACACGCAAAAGCCGCAGAACATGGCCAATTTTCCTTGCCAACCCAAAAGGCCCACCCACAAAATTGGCGGTGGACGTTTTGCATGTTCCTCTTCACTTAAAATAGGAACAATTTCAGCTCGTTTAATTGCCTTGTTAACTTCGTTTATTATTTCTCTTACTGTCTTCTGTTACTTCATCTATCATCTACTTTATCCATAATTCTCTTCCAGTTTTCAATAATATGTTGTTCTTTGCAGCAGCACTCACTACTGTGCTCAGGTTCTGCACTCCAGCCGCCAGTGCCCTATCCTCAAGTATCCTCAGCGCCTGGGCCTTCATGTCCAGGCCTACGAACTGGTGTGCGGGGAAGAGGTGGGCCAGGGGGACCACCAGGCAGCCGGTGCCACAGCCAAAGTCCACCACCTTCTGTCGCTGCGGTGTCGACAGCAGGCGACGCAACAAGAGGCAGAAGCTCTCCACCTGCAGTGTCGTGAGGCACAGCACAGCAAAGTCCTGGAGCGTTATTGCCTGGCGCCACAAGCACTCCACTGACGTTGCACAGCATTCCTCCAACACGTGCGTCACAGTATGCTGTCCATACTTGTTGGACAGATTCTATCATCAACAATCAACCATCGACAAGTTGGGAGACTCAACAACATGGAACTGGGGTGCCTTACCCCACGATCAGCTGCAAGAGGAAAGAGCTGTGTTCTGTCATAGTCTGACAAGTGCAACGAGTGAGCGTTTGTATGGGCGAACACTTGTATAAATAAATAGAGCTGCTAAAATTAATCTGCAAAAACACTACATAGCACTGTTTGCAGTGCTGCATTACGTTACTACTTGGAACGGTGATGAGCAAGGCCTGAGTTGACTATGTCGCTGTCAATGGGTTCTAAGGCAAGGGAAAACGTGTTTTTCTGCTGTGGCAACCTGATCAAAGCGGAGCTTCATTGGGTGGGGCGTCTTTGCAATGGGAATGTCAGCATCATGAGCTGTGATGGGTATTATGATGGTATGGTGCACAGGCGCTGTGGAGCGCACTCAGCTGCAGGCAATGGAGGCCCCCTCATCAGGGTACTGTGACAATACTGCTGTCTGTGCTGCTAAAGTAATAGAGCAGCAGCATGTCGCCTGTAAAGGTAGCATCCACTGTGACACCATTCGCAGACGGTTGGCAGGAGAAAAGCTAACGAACAAGGGGCACATCAACATTTGAACGTCATCGCAAGCACAGTGTCAAGTTTTCGTTTGGTCTTGTGATGGCAAACTTGGAGCGAGAAATTTAGGGAGGGGGTTCACCTGCCAACGCTTCCTCATTGCGCGGCCACTTGTCGACGGATCTGCAAAGACAGGCACAATTGTGTTGCAACCAGCGCCCAGCAACTGTGCCATTGGCACCTGGGAATAGCGCCAAGAGGCCCTGATACTCTTCTCCTTGCAGAACAGAGACAAATATCTAAAACATTTTGCTAAATTGATGGAAGGTGCCCAGTGTGAAGATTGCATTTGATTGCAGTGAAAATCTGTGACTCGGTGGAGTTCTCCCAAAACACCATTTGTGACACCATTCTCCATGCCCAAAGACAATGATAAAGTCTCCCACCGCAACCAGAACAGCACACAATGCATGGTCTGCTGTGCAGCATGTCTACCTCTCTTCAAGAGCCTATGGAGACTGAGAGACACAATTGACGATTTCAGGCAGCAGAACAAAGGAACTGCAAAGCTACCATATGTAATGGCATCGGGTTGGGTGATAGGATCGATCGGCGATCGCTCCCACAAGAAAAGGTGTCAAAATTGGAATAAACAGCCTGCTGTTCTCAAAGGATCGCAGCCACCCTGCATCCACCCTGCCAGGGGGACCCTGCACCAACATCATGAAGTGGAAAATGGACACATACACCTGCACACTCTCCTTTGGACAAGGGTGTTATGTAAACACTGAAAGGGTAAGGGAAGAGATGTTGCAAACAAATGGATATGGGTTGGTGCATGTAAACCAATGAGAAATTTGGGAGCCAGAAACGGGTGTGGGCCTGTGTACGGAAGACAAGTACACGTGTTACCTTAACCAATCTCTTATCGTACAGGCCAGCAGTGCTCGTCTGCCATGCACAGGGGGAACAAGTCAACAGCTCCTCTTGGCAAGGCATAAGCAACTTCAGGCCCAAAGACGGCATTCTTCAGTACAGTTTCCTACGTACAGATGCACAAGGTGGCCATCTGAGCGGGCATAGCTAGAGCTTGCCATCCAAACTACTGCATGCTGGATGCCGTGCCTGACCGTAACTGCATTTGCACTACAGAGAGGGCCAGAAGACTTTTGCTGGGAAGGACAGTGTGGAGAAATGCATGATGGCGCCACAAAAAATTTGTTGCACTACCCACATCACCTTGCATCAATTGCTGAATATGTGTTTTGGGTCATCGACTATCCAGACCAAACAATATCTTGGTTTCATTGAATCTGCAGCCCCTTTCAAATGGAGAGAAGCACATGCCTGTATGGCGCAATCGTTTCAGTTGAAAAGACAACCTTAGTCCCCACAGAGCCTTGCTGAATAGGCAATGCTTCGTGTGCTGGAAGAAGGGAAGCCAAAGACATTTTGCATCTCATTTTAACAGAATTCTAGTATCCACACAGGGCACCCTCAACCACAGCTCGATCAGTTTCAGGTTAGGGCAATGCATGGCTGGAGCCAGATTGGTTGATGAATGCAAAATATATCTCCAGAAACACTGTGCTGCATTCCCAGTTAAAAACAGTTGCACATGGAGGACCATGACACCGCTGCTTTCTCATCTTCGTTGTCAAGGTGCTTGCACACTTCTTTCTTCGCTGTGGGCCAAGTCAGTCAAAAGGATTTCATGACAACACTGCCTTTGTGCACCAAGTGTGCAACTGAATACACAAGGTACATGACGCTGCCCTTTTTTAAAAAGAAAAATGAGGAAACTGAACTTCACAAACGAAAAGCTAAGCCAATTTTGTGTCTCAAAGTGTCTGCAGCAGCTGCAGGACAAGATTTAGCCTGCCCGATACTTGAAACATTATAGCTCACAAGGGATATGTCCAAGTTGCGAGCGAGCAGAGCATTGACAACAGTTATCAAAACACCATACAATCACTGCAGTCCCTTGCATCTGTTGGAGGATGTTGGGCACAGCCACGGTGCAAGCAGCAAGGGGATTAATGGGGTGGCACAATCACCTTTGGACTGCAGGAACCTCCGTGGGTCGCAAGATGCAGGGAGGGCGTCCCAGTCGATGATGCTGCCCCCACCCTCCAGGTCATCGAGAAAAGTCACACCCTCAAGGGCTGTCGGACCTCCTGGAGGAGGGAGGTCGCCGATTATGTTCTTCACCTGGGCAATTTCTCTGGTGACAACCATGGCAGTGTGGGTATCAGCCAATGTTGCAAAGCATTCAACAAAAAGTTACAAACAACTGTCCTTGCACATGTTTGTGGCGATATCAGGCAATTGGTGAGTGGCCATGGTGGAGACAAGGGTCTGGGGGCAAAGCCCTAATAGCACATACTTGTCCACAAGTCTGGGCAGCTGACCCTGGGGTGAATGCGAACATTTCCAGCGATGCATTAATCGTTTTGCGCAGAGCAAGTAGCGGAGAACTCTGTGAGCACGGCGGCCATGGAGGTTGCTATTGCTTTCACTTGCCATGATTGCTTTCGACCAAGGTTGCACAGTCCCTGCCGACATGAAGGTCACCAAACAGCATCATCCATGTCATGTCATTTTCCAATATTCTTGTGCACCTTATGCCATCACGCTGTCCTGAGACCAAGCAAGCACCTGACTAGGATGATAAGAAACAACAAAAACAATTGCCTTGGCTTGCAACGAGTGACAGCCCAGTTGACAAGTGTTCATCTCTCTTTCCATTTCTATAATCCAGTTTGCAGGATGCAAAGGTGGTCATTGCCGCACATGGAGCCTCTCAGCCACCACTTTGAAGTCCCTCACTGCTGAGAAGTGCCCATGCATGCCATGCACAATACTTGCACTTGGCTCCAGCACACCAACTCGTGCAAAAGCTGTGACTCGTCATACATGTACATGATTATACAATCACACTGGCAACAACCAGCCAGCAGCCATAGATGCGTTTAGATGACAGGGCTTGGCTGTATGAATTGATAGTCAATTCGAGTCAACAAGATACGCTCACAAGCCCTCAACAGACAATAAAACTCATGTGACAAACAGGCTGGTGCCCTTGCCTTACGCGTCTCTTCCCCCGGTATAGCTTGTTCCTGCCTATTTGGATTGGGGCCCCATCCGCAGATATTACTGGAAGCTCTGCAATCCCATTGAGGACACCAGTCGCCTTTTTTTGGAAGCCTTGCATGCAGGAAATCTAAAGCATGCAACAGCCAAAATGTGTTTTGTAACAGAGTGCATCAACAGTTGTCACAGACGCACATATTTTCCAAATGAGAATGTGTCCAATACAGTTCGTTGGGGAATGGCACGCTCATGATGCAATATGTTGTAACAGAGTGCACCAGCAGGTGTCACAGATGCACATATTTTCCAAATGAGAATGTGTCCAATACAGTTCGTTAGGGAATGGCACGCTCATGATGCAATATGAAGTGCATTGATCGCCACCAAAACAACAAGGAGAAACCATGTTCAGCATCCTGTCTTGTCTTAACTTGTCCTATTTTGCGCCTTTGAACTAATCGATTGTTGGGGTCATCTCTGAGCCACTTCATGTTTGTTGGCACCAAGATATGCATTTCTGATGGAACCAGTGCAGCTGTTCACGGTTATGATGTCCAGGAAGGTCTCCTGCATCAATGAAATTGCAGGCATTGCATATAGCAAACAAGAAGAGAGGGACACACGGCACACAAGCTCCCTTGCAACATTGTGATTTTCAGCACCTCTGTAAGGTCTTCCCTGGTTTCTGCTCCAGCTGCAACCTCCCCACCCCCCTGGACTCCCTGGCACATGTGCTCTTGCCCTTCGTGCTGTTTGTGCTGTGCTCTCATTATTTCACACCGGGCGATTCTACATCATCTTTCACAGCATGGAAAAGAGTGTCAGAAAGCAGCATGTCCAGAAGGGAGAGCCATTTGTGTAACCTGGACTCCCATTTCTATCGCATTCCTCACATCTCTTGTCGTTTTGTCTGCCTCATAATGTGCAAGTGATCTCTCATAGTGTGGGACAACTTCACACACATGTTGCACACATTATGCTGGGGACCACTGCCAGGCATCTCCAATCTGGTGAAAGGGCTTTTGCTTTGTCATGTGACAGTTGTAGCCAAATGGATCAGTGTAATGTACAAGTGACACACAGCACTACTGTAATGTAATCAACAAGATTAGAGTATTGTTGTGCCCACAACGGGGTGCCCTGGGGTAAGATATTCTCAGGAATCAGTTGGACAAAGGTGTCAATGCAAATAGAGTCTCTCTCCAATCTTCCTGGGTAAGGGGCTCAAGTTTTTTCTAGCCCTCGAGTTTGCCTTCGCCATGAGTTCAGAGGGGAAATATCTCATGCAGTCGCATGCATACTGCGGAGGTTGACAGGCGCCAGAGGCAGCAGATAAGGTGCAGGTGTGTGGAATTCTGCTGCGATTGCACCTGCACTCGCAAGTTAAACAGTAGCTTGGCATCTTTCAGGCGTTGCCAGGATTCTTGTCAATCATGTGGTGAAAATTCGTCAAACGAATGTGCAGCCTGAACAAACCCGAAAGGGTCTGCAAAGTGACATGGATCACTCTGATCGCATTCTGAATCCGGTGCACTTTGATCATATTCAGTCACTGGTTGCCCACCAGTTTACATTGGATGCGGTTTGATCAAGTAGGAGTACGAAGATGAAACTGCGCCAAAACGCACTGAGCGTCACGAACGGCCGCATTTTCTTCACACCTTCCATGACTTACACGTGCTGCCTGCGCATTTAGACCCTGCCAGGCCGCCCATGACATAAAGATGGGAGATTTGGCAACGGCGAGTGACGGCCAATTGCACTCATTCCCACAAAGGAAAGTCATTGCACGAGGCAATGCCTGTTCCGATCCCCGTGCGGGCTGCACCACGCACAGCGGGACGCCAGCTCCACTCACCCCGTGAGAAGTGAAATCCGCCAGCGCGCAGAGGGTCGTCGTTGATCCCGGATGCCTTGACCAGAAAACAGTCGAGCTCCACACCGGGCGGAGAGGCGCGCAGGAACAATTGAGAGTGGCACGCCTGCTGTGGTGGTTTACGAGACGATTGGCCTGGCGCTCCACCGTCCGCCTCTCTTGTTTCGCCGGATGCAGGCCCGGAAGCCCCAACCGCAATGGTCGGTGGGGCCAAATTGCATCGATGGGCGGGAAGGGATGGTTACGTTTAGTAAGCTAGTTTACGGGGGGCCCGAAGATGGGCGGGCGAAAAAAAATTGCTGCCCCGACTGTGTCCTGTCAGCGGGGCGCCCAGTTTGGGCGGGAACAGTCTGGTTCTAGGGTCCCAAGGGAGGCAACGGTTCTTGGGGCTGGTTTTGGCTTGATCGGGGCCTGTTACCGGCGGCGCCGAGGCCTTAGGAGGCAACGCGCCGTCAGGCTGCACTTTGTTTTCTCGCTCCAACCGCTCTTGGTTGCAGCGAGCCCGGTCCCAATTGGGAACATTGTTTCGATCCTTCGAAAGGATCTGTTGCGCCGAGCCGCCGGCTCGTGTTTTGCACCCCTTCAGAGCTCTCCGGCTATCGCCTCTCTCCCCCATGCCCGAGGAGCCCACCCTCAGCCCCGAGGCTTTGGTGGCGGCGCTCCAAGCTCTCCTTACTCGGTCCACCGGGGCCTCCTCTTCGGCCCCCGCGGAACCCCAGACGGCCGAGGCGATCGCGGCCGCGGCCGCCGAAGACTCGTCCCATCGCCTTGCGGCTTTGGCCCAACACTTCGGGGCCCCGCAAGATCTCCCGCTCTCCCAGCTTCTGGTTCTCCGCTCGGGCGCCAACATCGACCCCTCTCCGCGGAATCCGGTGCCTCGGCCCCCCGCGGAGTTCGGCCAGTGGTTCGACGTCCTCGACACCGCCGACGGTCAACATTTGGCCTAGGCCTTGGGCCCCCGATCGGGCTACTTCGCGGAATACGCCAATTGGGCGCCGATCGTCTCATTTTACTACGATCTGCAGCTCCGCCTCATCGCCTTGGCAGCGTGCCCGGAGGTCCCCGCCGCCGTCCGTGCGGCCCTCGAGCCCCTCGTCTCCCTCTACGCCAAGTGCACCAACCTCGCGGTCTCTACCTTGGCGGTTCGGCGGATGGAGGCTGCCCACGCGAATACGCTTCTTTCCAAGGCGTACAAGTCGTTCCAAACCAACATCCAGTTGGCGGGATCGGCGGCCCGCTACACCACCGACCTCGAGCGCGAGACGACCAACCTGATCCGTGCTCGGATCCAGAAGGCTACGGTCAAGGCGCAGGCGGACGGCGCCCCCCGGGCCCGCCATTCCAGCCGTGGTTCCGACCGCTCCGGCCCCTATTCGGACGGGGCCTCGGGGCCCGGCCACCGTGGTCGCTCGCGCGGCCGCGGTCACGGTTCCGGTCAGGGCCGGGGTGCGCCCCCTGCCTTGGGCAACCCCTTCTCCGATTCATGAACTCCGAGCGGGAGCTCCTTGCCATCGTTGCGGCCTTGCGCCAACTGCGCGTTGGCGGCGGCAATGCCCCCCGGCAACGATCTTGCCCCCTCGAAGGGGGCCCTACGGCCGGAGGCTCCGCCACCCCGCCCCCCCTCGGGGAACGGGGCACTTCATCTTCAACCCCACCGGGCGATCGGCGTTTGGCACCAACTAGGTGCCTTGATGGGGTGCTGGTTTTCGAGTCGCGCGTTGCGCCGCCGCCTTGTCGCCCGAATGGCCGGAATGGCCCGCGCGGCCGCGATTGGCCGCGGCTTGACCGGGGCGCGCGCTCGTTACACTCCGAGGTGGTGGGCCCAGATCCCTGGAAGGTCGCTGAGTGCACGGCGATGGAGGCCGGGATGCTGCGAGCTCGGTCGCGCCGGATTGTGGTCCGATCCGCGCGATCCGGAGGTGGTTGCCAGAATCGGCAAGCAATAAGATTACTGATGACTCAAACCACATCCATTTTGTGCGGCAGGGCGTACCGCATCCCGGGTCGCCCGCCGTGGGCCCAAAAACAACCAATGTCACTCGTGCAAAGTACAGGCGTCCGCCAAGCTGCCATAAAGTACCGCAGCCGGCCAGAAATCACCCAAATAAAAGAATGCCTCCTCAAGGCCCTAATCCCATCTACTAGGGCCTTTAATTGGGTCGCCAATTAACATAATTTAAGACTATAATGTTCCCCACAAGAGGCCTCAGGGAACAGGGGGAAAAGTCAAGGGAGTAAATGGTCTCCCCAAGTAATTCCGTCACACTCCTCCCCCCTTGGGAAAGTTTTCGCCCCCGAAAACACTGACTCCCATAAATCAGTACTCTCTACTATTACCCGATTGTAGACCTAACTAGGGTCCTCAATGGGTTTGTCCCGGGCGATCATTTTCCTCAATTCCCTTGGGTGATCAAAATTTTCTTCCGGCACCCAGGAAGCATCGTCGATTGACCAGTCCTTCCAAAGGACTAAGTATTCCTTGACCCTCCTTTGACTGGGTCCTCTCCAACGCCACCGCAGAAGTTTCTCTACGTCGTAGGGCTCGTCGTCCTCAGGCTCGACTTCGTCCTCTGTCTCAGCAACTGTAGCGGGTGTCCACCTCGACACTCGGAATGGTCGTAGCAAGCTCGTGTGAAAAATCCTGTGGATCTTCCATGAGGTGGGAAGATCTAATTCGTAGGCCACGGGTCCGACTCTGCGGGTCACGAAGAATGGACCTACGAACCTCCTCTTCAGCTTGCTGACAGGTGCGTTCTTCAACGTTAAATGTTGCGTGCTAAGAAGCACCTGATCCCCACTGTGGAACACCTGCTCTCTTCGCTGCTGGTCGGCGAGAGACTTCTGTCGTAGTTGAGCCTGATGAACATACTGCATAGCCCTCTTGAAAGTCTTCTGCATTCGGGATATGAAAACATTGACACCCTCTATGCGTGTGGTGTCTGCATCCCGAATCAAGTCGATGGGTGTACACGGCTCATAACCATAGTTCAAGTAGAATGGCGTGTACCCCGTAGACTGGGAGACGCTGTTGTTCATAACGAATTCCACCATTGAGAGGTATTTTTCCCAGTCAGCTATCTCTGACGAAGACTCATGTATGGTGCACCGGAGGACCATCTCCACCACCTTGTTCATCACCTCCGTTTGTCCATCTGTCTGTGGGTGGTGTGCACTGGACATCCTCAACCGACTTCCGAATACTCTCCAAAGTTCGCGCCAGAACTTGGACACAAATCTGGGATCTCTGTCCGACACAATGGAACGTGGAATTCCATGGTGTTTTCCAACGTTGTCCCAGTAGAGATGAGCAGTCTCCGCTGCTGTGATGGTCTGCTTCACCGGTATTAGGTGTACCATCTTCGTAGCTCGGTCCACTACTATCAGAATTCCATCGTGTCCATGCTCACTGAGTGGTAATCCCATGATGTAGTCCATACTGACGTCGACCCATTTCTCCTCAGGGAGTTTCAACGGCTGTAGGAGTCCTGCTGGTACCCTATGGACGCTCTTCTCCATTTGGCAGACCTGACATCCGAGAACGAAGTCTCTAACGTCCACTGTATGGTCTGGCCAATAGAAGTTTTGCTGAACTTTCTTGAGCGTCTTGTGGTACCCTAGATGTCCGGAGTAGGGAACTGTATGTAGCTCCCCCATGATCCTCCTCTTGACCTCCGGTACATCGGGTATAACCACCCTCCATCGGTGTACCTCTGTGTCCTCCTCTCTACTGTGCACCTCCAACAATCCATGAGCCCTCCGATAGACATGGGTGCCTATGCGAACGGTCTGTACCTGGGACGAATCCAACTGCCTCATGATGTCGTCCCATCGCACGTCCTCTTCATATCCTCTCGCTATCTGGTCCTTCAGAGACGTATCCAAAGTTATCCGCGT